GCGGGGAATCTGAGCTCTGGGGCCGACTATACTGGGCCGTGAGAGATTGCACGAACCAATGCCGTTTCTGCAACATCTCACCGGAACAGTCTGCATATATGCGCTCTAACAAAGATCAAACTGCAACTGGGACGGACACTGTTCCCCCGTCGGCGAGGGATGAAGACGTCTCTCCAGTAAGGAGACAAACCGTCACACGCCGTCGGAAGGAGAAATGTCCGCACTGTGATTCTACATTGACGGGATTCTCGGGTCTCGTCAGTCACTGTCGGTCATTTCATCCGGAACATCCTCCACCGCTTCCCGAGCTCAAATGTGATTTCTGTGACATGGTTTTCCCCACACGGAGAAGCACCGCACCGCACAGAAGTTGCTGCGCACACAACCCAGACGCCACACGACATTTAAACAGAAGTGCCAGGCGGCGATCTCTGCTGCCGCAGGATCAGCCAGCTTCCACAAGCACGCCAATTGGCCCGCAGGAAACCTTGCACCATCTGCTTCTAGGATGTTCAGGCACCTTGGCTGTGCGTCAACGACTGGGCATTGAACAGGACCTTCGCCTCGGAAAGTTCTCTCAATGGCAGCTGCTTCACAGCAGGAAACTTTTGTCGTTGCTCGACCACCTCTTCGGCACCCAGATGGCATTGTATAGCTAGACGCGCTGGTAAGAGTAGGAAAAAAATATAATGACCTCATGACGTCCAATACCACCGATGTGTACGGGCGATGGGACTGTATCCATGGTCCTCGAGCACACGCCCCGCCGCTAAGGAGCCCACAAACAGCGGTGCGTGCAGCAGCGCCACACAGACCACATCTTCTTTAAACAAAAAAATCAAAGAGAGCAGAGACGTCTAGTTCGAAGGTGACCTGTCCTTGCCGACGGTGAGCAGTGGCGAACGTATCACCTCGTGTGTGGAAACACCACTGCTGCTTCTGCTTTTGGGACTGTGTGTGGTTGTGACAGTGTTCTGAGCCACGGAGTGTTGAGTTGCGACTTCTCACGGAAAATATGTGCCGCGTTCCCTGCGGGCTTTCTTTTTTTGATGTTCTTTTTAATGTTGTTTACATGGAACAATGGGAGTGCCTTTTTCTTTTGTTTTACTTAATGGTCAGTTGCTGCGCACCGTCATGAGCGAATTGCTTTCCCTCTTGATTGCTTCTGTTGCCCACACGCGGTACAGGCCCCACGGCTGTGCGCTCCACGGAGGACACAAAAGGAGGAGTAGAGAGACAGGCCGGATGCCGCATGAAATGCGTGGGATGTTGTGTGGGCTTGTGGAACAGTAATAATTTTTTCCTTGTGCAGGCACTGTACGCATGTACATGTAAACACAGTCCTGCATTGCTGCATGGCGTATGAAATGATGATTCTGCTGAAGTGTATTTTTTTTTTGAGGAGGAGACTCCCGTTGGGCACTCAACTACTTTTTTTGTTTTGGTATTGCTTTTTTACTTCTGGTGTGCAGGTCAGTGTGCGTTCCTCTGCAGGGCTGCTGCCGTTGTTTACGGTGCGTGTTATTTTGTGACGTGTCTGTCTTGCCTTTTGCTTTCACTCTCTGTTGAAGTGTTGTTGGTTTGTGCTGAAGGCTGCACGCAAGTGACAGGAGTGATGGCGATGATGATGACTGGCCGTGTGCTGCTGGTGTGTGCCCTCTGCGTGCTGTGGCGCGGTGCGGTTTTTGGACACGCGATGGAGGATTACTGCAGCGAGGGCGGAGGGAACGGTTTGAGGCACACGAGTAATGGTGGAGATGACGGCGTGTCTCTAAAGACGGAGTGCGTGTTGTTATCCACTCGAATGGCATTAATAAAGGCGGTTGAGGCTGCGGAAGCTGGAGAAGATGAATTGAGTGGTGCTCCAGCCCCATCTCAGGATAAGTCGAAGGTATCATCACCTGATAATACGGAAGACGGCGGAGCGACTGGTTTAGGTAGTGGCGTTGTCGCAGTTCAAGCAGCAGCAATACAGCCGAAGCCCGAAGGATCAGGTACAGGAGGACAGGAGGGTAAGTCGACAGTGGTGAATACAAAAGGAAAAGAGGGAGATAATAAGAATGGAACTGCAGCTGACTCCAAAAAACCAAAACCGGATCAATCTTCTTCTTCATCTGGCGGCCCTGGTCCTCTGGTTGGTGAAGAACCTCTTTCGGAACATTCCAAGACTAGTGAATTCTCCGGTATCCAGCTGAAAGAACAAGGAAAGGACCTTCGCAGTAAGCCTCACAGTCATGAAGAGGTGGTGGAAGAAACAAGTGAATCAGAACAAGAAGGAACAGGGGAAGGCAAATACGAAAAAATAAATGATAAGGCACCCGCAGTGATACGTGAAAATCCATTGGAACAGAAAGAAATGCAAACAGCAACATCACCAACACAAGTGAATGGACAGTCCGGCACTGAAGATAACGTGCCCATGCAACAGCTACAACAACCCCAAAGTGGAATGAACCAAAGCAACAATTCACAAACAAGGAGCGTTGCCCCCACTACAGCCAATCAACACAATGATCCATCTGCCGTCCATATGGAAACAAGGCCACCATCACCCACGGCAAACAGAGATGCCGCTAATATTGTTTCTGACAAGAGCACTGAAGACAGCAACCAGAAGAATGATTTAGCAGCTGATGGTGCAGGGACAGCAGAAGAAAAACAAAATGAAAATAAAGATGCCAATCCGAAAGAAACACCAGTCGAAGCCACAGCCATGAAAACTACAACGGCGACGACTGGCGACAGTGACGGCAGCACCGCGGTCTCCCACACCACCTCCCCTCTTTTGCTTCTTCTTCTTGTTGTTGCGTGTGCGGCTGCTGCTGCGGTGGTGGCCGCGTGAGTGTGAGGGAAAGAGAGCCGTGCACCGCCCGCACACACACTCGTCCTTCTCTCTCTCTGTGTGTGTGTCCCCTTGCACGGACTCTCGCCCTCACCTCACCCCACGACGCACACACATAATGTGCCCATTGTATATATGCATGCACACCCATGCAGGCCCGTTGGTGCTCTCTTTTGCACGACACGCACCGCTGCCGTCCTGCCTGGCTGCATGGGCGGAGCACCGTAACCGTTTCTGTTTTGTTTTTATTGCATTGAGTGGGCGACTTCTCTCTCTCTCCCTCTGTGTGTGTGTTTTGCTTTACGGGAGCAATGAGAGTGTGTGTGCGCTGGTCGTCCCACGCTTCGGCTTTTTTTTTGTTTTTCTTTTTGTTTTGAATCTTTGCTTCTGTTGTGATTGGGTGCACCCATTTTACTTTCATTGATTGGTTTTCTTCTTAAAGTGCGGACGGCTGAATATTCCCTTTTGTATTCTCCTGTTCTTTGTTTCTTCCCACGCAATCGGTCCTTGTTGCTTCAGCGAACCACGAAATATTTGCCTAACACCCACATCAATGGCTTACTTGCTCTACACCCCACATTAGTTTGAGACGCTGGTGCTGCTGCATGTGATGGTGTTTATGGTGTGATTGCCAGCGGTGCTTTGCTGTCACTTTGACGTACCCTCGATTTGTTGAATATGTTATGCGTGCCGACAGCACGAATTGGATCCGCGTTGTTGTGAGGGACGTGCCCTTTTTGAGCAGTTGGTGCGCTGCAGCCATACACCGTCATTGGGAGGGATGGATAGACGCCCATCCGCATCAACGTATCCACAAGGGACCTGAATGATACCGGGAAGTATTGGATCTCAGGGAGGTACTACGCAATGAATTCATTGAATGGCAATTGCGAGTGTGAAGGTGACGTTGTATCCTCTGCGCACGGGATCATTCTCGAGAATGAAGTTGCCCCTACTGCTTTCAAACCGCATGCGGATCTTCTGCTCGTGCAGCCACTGGAGGGTCCTTTGATTGTGCCCCCATTTGCCACGGGCAGCGTTTGCATTCGGTTCACGGTGCGTGCTGGGCATTGTTCCATCTGTGTTGCCAATGCTGACATGGTGCTGTGCGTGACAGAGCGCTGTTGGTGGTGGTGCACTCGACGACTGCCGCGATGGCTGCGAGGAGCCCACGACTGCGACGACATTGATGGCATGGAGCTGCAGGATGGCGATGGTGACGGGAGGACGCTGGAGTCGCACTGGTCGCAGCGCCACGCGAAGGATGAGTGGATGGCACCGATTGGTTGTGCCGGCTGCCGCACGGAGCTGACGCTGGCCGCACCGGCTGACCTGGGCTGCATGAGGGTGAATTGGGAGATGGCGGAGCCGATGCGCTGGTGAAGGAATTCGTGCTGTGCGCTGCTGCAGAGGAAGTGCTCCGCACTGAGCATGAGTGAATATCCCCAGATGTTCTGAAAAGCGGGCGTTCATGCCAGACGCTGCACGTTGGATCGGTATTCCAGTGGCTGGTGTGTAGACGAATTATCCATGAAGGTCAGCAAAACGCCCGATGGACAGCTGCCCCATCACTGGTCCCGCACTGGATGTGAGAAATGCTGCCGCTGTTATTTGGAGGGGAGAATATTTGTCTGCGGTGCCTGGGGACAAGCCCTCTTCGTGGTGTCTGGACACGCTTCCCACCAACACGATGGATGCGAGGGACCCGGAAGAAACATATCTGAGTGCTGCCATGCATGCGGCATTGCGGTGCCTCGGCATGCGGGTGCGTCTGAGAGTGACTGAAGGGAGTAACGCTCGTTGTGCTCCATGCACGGCCGAGGCGACGATTACGTGGGTTGCTCCGCCCTACGACGAGGGAAAAGCTATTTTCCGTGACCACGCGCAGGTGTGCACGATATCCGCCACCAGCGGCAGTTTGCTTCCAATATTTTCGTGGGGTGGCGATGTGAGAGGGTGTGGAGCAGGACGGTTTCACTGGCATCTACTGAACAAGCTTTGCTACGGGCATCCGTCCCCGATCCAGAGAGCATTGGGACCGGCCGCGGCACACCACCGAAGTATGTGGACACGGCTGCTCCCCAGAAGCATCCGTCGCCAGAGGAGAAGGAAGTCGCCTTAGGTGCCACGACGGCAACGGTGTGCTCTTGCCCAGCGACACCGCGGGTGCGCCGCAGGAGGCGGAGAAGAAAAGCGATCTTCCGGACATCGACGATGTGGCCACCGATGGTGTGACGTCTGTTGTGGGACAATCGTTAGGAGATGAGGCCGCCAGCGACAAGGCCGGTGGCGGTGCCACAGCCACGGGACCCAGGAGCCCTGATGCCGCTGATGCCGCGCAGGGCGCCGTGGACCCTCCGCCGCGAGAGGATGAGGGGGCGGTGGTGCGCGGGGTTGGGAGGCAGACATGAAGGACGCCCCGCCTCCGGTCCACGGCAATAACAGTGCGGCTGCTGCTTGTCCCTTTCCGCTGCTTCTTCTGCTTGCCGCTGCCGCCGCGGTGCCAACACTCAGCAGTGGGTGCAAGAGAGAAAGGCCTATATCAACTGGCATGTTCCTGTCAGTATATACATACACTCTGCTTGTCTGTATACTTTGTATCAAGGACATGCTGTATGCACTCTCCCTCTTTTGTGTTGGTTGCTAATGTGTCGGCACCACGCGTGCATTATGGATTGGGATCAGAAATTGTTTGACTTCTTCTGGAGAATACTGTGCTGTGTTTGTGTGCGTGTGCGAGGGATCTGTGTGGTTTGATTTCCCCATTTTTATTTACCTGCTTTGGCATTGTGTAATGATACTTCCTTCTCCATTATGTGTGTTCTGAAGTGTTGCTAGGGCACCGGGAGTGGATGCCTGTGGACGCACGCCGTGCATTATGCGCTACATTGGTGGGAGGGGAGACTGACATAACTGGCGGGATTCAGTAAGGCGCATTTTTGCCCACGGACCCTGCAGACGCAGCAGCCTGAGTGGCGCTTTGCATATGGACGTGTGGATTGTTTCTGTCTTGCGAGGCCTTTTTACTGCGTGTCATTCTCCGCTCGGGTACCGTGCCCGTGGCAGCAGCGGCGGCATCAAAATGGCTGTGTGCGTGGAGCGTCCTTGATTGAGTGCCTGTCTTACTTCTCTGTTCTGTTGATTGATTGTACCGTGTGCCGGCCAAACGGTTGACATGACGTTCTTCTGACGGCGGGGTCCACGTGAGACGATGTTGCGTCGCGTGCTTTGTTGCGGGTGTGTGATTTCCGCAACGGTTTTTGGGCGGTTGACTGTTGGGTCGTTGAGGGCGGCGTGGCGACGGGTGCGGATGGACCCGATTGTGTGCCGTGGCTGCTCGTGCGGGGGAGCCACGGGGAGGAGGAGGGCAGCGGAGCGATGGACTCACGAGGAGTGCGGTAGCGT